GGTCAGCGAAAAAGAGGAAGACCCTCAAGGAGATGAACTGACACAGTGGCTTCAACAGTGGGCTCAAACATAGCAACGACTGTTAGGATGGCGCAGGACCGGGCAATGTTTCGCTTTGTTGTACCCAGGGTTGCTATGAGTTGGAACCGACTTGACCTCACCTAACAACAACTCTAAACCACAGATGAGAACTTTAAGGGGCAGAGAGTCTAAGTTAACAGTAATGAAACAGTATGGACAGAGATAGGAAGAATGGTGATACAGTATGAAGTATATTGTCAATGAACAGTACATGTAAAAATTATTGAATGACTGTATTTTTTTGTGTATATTTTCACCAAAAAGAAAAGAAAGAAAGAAAGCTCTATGGAGCAGTTCTACTCTGTAACACATTGGGTTGCCATGAGTTGGAATCAACTGGACCACAACAGGGTTTTATATCCATACAAAAACACCACCACCAACAACAAACTCATCGCCATGAAGTCAATTCTGACTCATAGCAACCCTGTAGGGAATTTTATTTGGCCATAAAGACAAATAAAGACTGATACATGTTACAACATGGATGAACCTTGGAAACATTATTCTGAGTGAAAGAAGCTAGTCAAAGAGGACCACATATTACATGATTCCATTTATATGAAATCTCCAGAATAGAAGAGGCAAATCCACAGAGTCAAAAAGTAGATACGTGGTTGCCAAGGGCTGGGGGAAGGGCGAAAATGGCAGGACTGCTAACTGGTATGGGCTTTCTTTTTGGTGTGATGAAAATGTTGTGGAGTTAGATAGTAGCGACGGTTGCTTGCACAACCTGTGAATATATTTAAAACCACTGCGCTGTACACTTTTAAAGGGTGAATTTTATATGTGTGGATTTTATCTCAATTAGAAGAAAAAAATCCCGCTCCTTGAAGGTGTTTCAGCCAGGGGTTCCAATCGTTCGTCCTGGCCAGTGCCCCCACCCTCTCCCCTACCCCATTTTCTCTTCTCTCTAAGCCAACCCATCAGTTCTTGTCACACACAGCTCACGGAACCTAACAGTCCCTTTCTTAGACCTCCTATCGGGCCCTTGATCCTCCCTCTGAAGTCCCCTCCTCTTTCTCCACCTCGAAAACCCTGCTTCCATCTTCACTTCTGCTTCCTCCAGAAGACCTTCCCTGTCTTGTTTCTCTTCTGGAATTTCTATGTAGATGTCCTCAGCTAGGAAACCGTGGTGGCATAGTGGTTAAAAGCTATGGCTCCTGACCAAAAGGTCGGCAGTTAGAATCCTGGATCCAGCAGGCGCTCCTTGGGAACCCTATGGGGCTATTCTACTCTGTCCTATAGGGTCACTATGGGTAGGAATCAACTGGATGGCAACGAGTTTGGCCCTCAGCTAACCTACCTTCCTCCTTCCCTCCTTCCCACACTGTATAGAAAAGGCCAGCTTATTGTAATAGGTACAGAAAGTTTGGGCCTTGAGGACATTTAAATTAGAAACAATCATTTTAATCCAAATTATAACAACGCTGTTGAATTTTCATCGAGAACAGGCTTTCCAAAGCAAACTCCATTGACCATAAATAAACCCTTGATCAATTTTCTACAAAACTATTAAACTGTATCTTCCCCCCTCCCATTTTTATTTTTAATCAGATTTGATCATTTTCCATTTCCATTTGACAGCAGAATTTCCACTTAGCTGCGGTTATGTCTACCAAGCCCCCCTTTTCTGGGATTAGAGGCTGCAGATTTAGATTTTATGATGAAGACTGAACTCTTCCAGTCATGTTCAGGCCATGATGCTTTTCTCCTTGTGCAGCATTTCCCTTACGAGCTTTATTTTGTTATGTTTTCCTAACAATAATAGTCATTATGGATTGAATAAAAGACTGATTAAAAACAAACAAACCAACCCAAACCAGTTGTCTTTGAGTCAATTCTGACTCATGACAACTCCGTGTGTGTCAGAGTAGAACTGTGCTCCATAGGGTTTCATGACTGTGCCTGTAAGAAGCAGATCTCCAGGCCTTTCTTCTGAGGCACCTCTGGGGGGGTTTGGACCACCAAACTTTTGGTTAGTAGCTGAGCGCATAACCATTTGTTCCACCCAAGGACTCCTTAAAAGACAGACAGGTTACATTTCTGTCTCAAAAGATTTAAGTTACACAACTATTATGGCCTCCACCACACTGAGTCTAGTACAACTAGATGGTGCCTGGCTACCACCACTGACTGCTGTGTCAGGGATCACAATAGAGGGTCCCAGACAGAGCAGGAGAAAAATGTCGAACAAAATTCTAACTCCAAAAAAAAGACCAGACTTACTGGTCTGACAGAGACGGGAGAAACCCCGAGAGTATGGTCCCCGGACACACTTTTAGCCTAGGAATGAAGGGGGAGGTTCACCTTTTAGCCAAAGATTGGACAGACCCATAGGACAAAATGAGACTGAATGGGCACACCAGCCCAGGACAAGGACTTGACGGCAGGAGGGGACAAGAAAGCTGGTAATAGAACCCAAGGTCGAGAAGGGAAAGTACGGGCATGTCAACCAATGCCATAAAACAATGTATGTACTGTTTAATGAGAAGCTAGTTTGTTCTATAAACCTTCATCTAAAGTACAATAAAAAAATAAAATAAAATAAATGGGATACAAAAAAAAAAAAAAAAGGAGAGGCCATTAAGAAAATTCTAGAAGGGAAACAAAGCATGCAAACCTACTTTATTAAGCTGGCTAGAAATAAAAGTAAAAGTTGAAAGACTAGAGTTTGTTTACAAAAAGCCAATTGAGAAAATTTTTATTATTCCATGCCCAGGCAGTGACTGACCCAAGGTCATGCAGACAGTTACTGGCAGACCTAAGGTGTCCTGTTGGTTCAGACCTGCTTGTGATTTTGTGGGTTGGGCAAGTCAGCTACATTCTAGAATGAAATGTTAGCAAGACCTCCATGGCTACAGAACACGTCCTCCAACCCAGAGTTTAGCAGTGATAAACTGGACATTCTGATCTCTATCTGACTGCTGACTATCAGTCAGTTCCCATTTAGAGTGTAAGTTATTGATCCTCTAAACTCCAGCAAACTTCAGACTTGGTAGGTCTTTGTGTATGAATGTATATATAGAGAGACGTGCCAAGTCTCAATTTCATTTAAGCTTCTTTTATTGTGCACCTATTATGGGAAGATAGCATCTAAGTATTGGGAATATAAAGGTGAACAAAACATATACCCTTGCTCTCATGGAGACTGCATTTGCGAAACATTGAAGACATCAAACGAATACTAGCACATGTGACTATATGCTTACATATAAACTACAGCTGTGAAGGGATCTCTAGAGGAAAACTTCAGGGTGCTATGGGATCATACGATGGCGTGGAATAGAGAAGAGCCTAATCTAGATGAAGAGATCATAGAAAAATGACGTGTAAAGTGAAACATTAAGGATAAGCAGAAGGATGCCAAGCAAAGGATCAAGGGAAAAGAGCAAAAATAGCACGTGCAAGAGCCCTGTGGCAGGAAGGAATTTGATATATTAAGACACTCAAATTGCTTATTATGTTTCCTTAGCTGTGATTTATATAAAATATTTATGTTCTGAGTCAGAGTTCTGAAAACTTTCTATAAAGGGCCATATAGTAAATATTTTCAGCTTTGTGAGTCAGTCTCTGTCACAGCTACTCAGCTCTGCCATGGTAGCACCAGCAAAGAAGCCATAGACAATATGTAAATGAATGGGTATGGCTGTCTTCTAATAAAACTTTATTTACATAAACACGTGGGGGAGGTGCTGCAGGCCATTAAAATTTTGTTTTTTAAATTAAGTTTTAAATAGATAATACAAGTACATGGTAGAAACACACACACACACACACACGCACACACACACACACACACAAGCAATACAAAGAGAGCATACAGAGGAAAGCCTATGACCTTCCCACTTCCCTTCCCCCCAAAGGCCATGTCACAGGCAGGGCTCCGCAGGATGATCAGGTAGGAGTTTATCAGGGAGTGCTCCTGAGGTCAGCACCGTGGAAGGGATGAGAAGGCTGCAGGACTGGGCAGAGGGACAAGCTGGGCTTCGATGCAGGGAAGGGCTCAGCTGACCCATGGGAGCCCTGAGCTGGGCCGACCCTTTAGAATTGCCTCAAGATGGGCTGACTGGTCTTTATACTCTGGTGTAGGCCGGTCATGGGGAATGGCCTCGGGAGGAGGTTCTTCTCAGCTGTGGTTCTTCTCAGCCCTGCCTCCCCATGCTGACAGCTGAGGGCCCTCTGGTCAGTGACCAGCATGCCTCACAGCTAGGGGCAAGTCCTTCAGTCCTGAAGGGGTCCTAGGTCGCCTAGCTGTCACCAGAGTGTCTCCGGCCTCCCCCTGCCCTTTCTGTTTTTATTTTCCTGTGGCTCTGGAGGATCCTCTCAGTCCCCTCAGCTCCTCAGCAGTCTCTCTCTTCACTTCCCATCAGCCCCCTCTCCCTGCCCTCAGGGCAGAGCCCACACAGTGGGAGCAGCTGGGCCTTGGCCTCAGGCAGCCTGGGGAGGGATAAGTAAGGCTTTTTTCCCTCTTTTTTTTTTTTTTTTTCCAAAAACAACTTTCTAGGGCTCTGGAGTTATAAAAATCTCCCGTGTGTCATTTTCTGGCAGTTGGACAGCTGCAGAATGCCACTTGGCAAGCGTTCTTGCCTATCCGATGTTTTAACATTTGATTGATGGGTTGGGTTTGGCAAGAGCAGTTGAAGGCTATCACAAATCTGTTGCATCTGATGTTTAATAACTTATAAATAAAAATATAATATAGGATACAGTTTTCCAAATGCCCCTTCCCCAATTTCTCATGGACTGAGTACTGCCACACCTGTGGGTGGCACAGGGACCCCATGTGGGGAAGAGGACAAGCCACTCTGGACATCCAGTGGGTGAGCACACCTGCCTTTGTGGAAGACTTGGCCCCCTCGAGTGTGGCTACAAGATGTGACTAAAGGTGACTCAACTTCCTTTCTGCCCCCAGCCCTATGGCTTCTCGCCCTGTGCTGCAGAGGGAGAGTGTGTTCCAGACAGGTGACTATGTCTACAGAATCCCTGCTCTGCTCTACCTGCCCCAGCAGAATACCCTGCTGGCCTTTGCGGAGAGGCGGGTGGGCAAGGCGGATGAGCATGCAGAGCTGATCGTCCTGCGCAGAGGGGGCTACAACTCGACCACCCACCAGGTCCAGGTAAGGCCCATGTGGTAACAGTTGCTCCTCCAGGGTTCCTCTGTATACTCCTTTTTGCTGGTGAGTGTTCAGGAGCCAGGCCTGGGTCTAATGGAATGCAAGACAATTAGATGACCGAGGTCTGGGGAGAGGAAAGGAAAAGACACTTGGAGAGCCCAAGATGGCCCTGGGGAACCATCCCAGGATGTGCAGATTCAGTGACCACCTGGACCTCACATGGGTTCACCCTGAACAAGTCCAGTTGGCCTGGACACATCCGCTTATTGCATGACTGGACAAGTTGGTCCATCTTTGCATCTCAGGGGTGTAGCACATCCTAGGTACTCTGTAAATGTATGTTGATGGGAACGGGCATACCTAGAACAGTTAAAATGAAGAGAGGGCTGCCGAGGAGGGAGTGGAGTTGGAGCCCTGGCTCCTATCACTCCAGGAGGATGTTGTAGGAGGATGCAAGTGTTAGATGAGGAGTTCTCCTAGATGACCTAGACAGGGAGGCCAACGCCCAGAGAGGTTTTCCTACATCCCTGAGAACCTCCTGGGGAACTAGTTCAGTATCACCAATCTGAGGGGGTTGTATTGTTTCAGTAAAATTAACCTGGGAGGGGGGTTGAGGTAATTGTGTCTTGAAGTTTCAGCAGGTATATCAAGTAATTCATTTGATGAGGATACCTAGGGGTGGCTTATCATATTTGAAGGGCTTAATATTATTAATATCAGCATTTTGTGTTCACTATTACATAGTATCTGTTTAGAGCATAGGGATTTGAAGCAGGTAGACCTGGGTTCAAGTCCTGGTTCCACCACTTCCCAACAGTGTGACCCTGGGCAACTCATCTACCCTTTCTAAGCGTCTCTTTCTCCAGATGTAAGATGGAGCTAATAACACCTGTCCCTGAGGGGCTGGGGGCTAGATGAGACAGGGGCAATAGAGTCCTGGCATAGTGTCTAAGCTTAGGATTGCTCATGGTGGTGGGTAGCTGTTAAAGAATGGGACAGATGGCTGAGCTGCACACATATGACATAGAGTCGAGGGGGTTACAGAAGCTCAGTATGAGTACTCCGTGTCACAGGGCTTCCCCCTTCTGTTGTTGTCGTCGTTAATTGCCATCCAGTCAGCTCCGACTCACGGCAACCTTATGTATAACAGAACAAAATGTCGCCCAGTCCTGCACCATCTTCTTGATCATTGGTATGTTTGAGTCCATTGTTGCAGCTACTTCCACTTCTAGCTACCTTAATAGAGAATGGTGTGTAGGAGACAGAAGGTGAAAGTCAAATTTTGTCCCACATTGGTCAGACTGTTGTGATCACTACTAGGGCTTCCCTTTTCAAGATGGCAGACAGGACTTTGATGATGGGTTGAAGGAACCAGGATGAAGCTAAGAATGGCCCATGATTAAGACATCTTGGTATGGGGTGGGGGGTCTAGTACATCGTAGGTGCTCTGCAAACGTATGCTGACAGGAATGGGCATACCTAGAGCAGTTCAAATGCAGAGCAGGCTATCACTGCGGGAGTGGAGTTGGAGCCCTGGCTCCCACGGCTCTGGGGAGATATTGTAGGAGGATGTGGTTGTTGGATGAAGAGTTCTCCTACGTTACCTTTGGTTCTGAGCCCCCATGAGTCACAAGTACCCCAAGGTTGTAGCTCCTGTCACTATCACTGGCTGTGTCAAGGTTAAGCTTGTCCTTCTTCTCTCCTCACATCCAGTGGCAAGACCAGGAGGTGGTTGCCCAAGCCCAGCTGGCAGGTCACCGGTCCATGAACCCATGCCCCTTGTACGATGAGAAGACTGGAACCCTTTTCCTCTTCTTCATTGCCATTTCAGGGCAGGTTTCTGAGCAACACCAGCTCCAAACAAGGGTCAACGTGACCCGGTTGTGCCAAGTCACCAGCACAGACCACGGGAAGACCTGGAGCCCGCCCAGAGACCTCACCAACACTGCCATTGGCTCGGCCCACAGGGAATGGGCCACCTTTGCCGTGGGCCCGGGCCACTGTCTGCAGCTGCATAACAAGACCAGAAGCCTGGTGCTGCCTGCCTATGCTTACCGGAACCTTCACCCCCTCCAGGTGCCTCCCCCCTTTGCCTTCTGCTTCCTCAGTCATGACCACGGACACACTTGGGAACGAGGGCACTTTGTGGCCCAGGAAACCCTGGAGTGCCAAGTGGCTGAACTTGGGGTTGGGGAGCAGAGTGTGGTGTATCTCAATGCCAGAAGCTTCAGGAGAACCAGGGTCCAGGCCGAGAGCACCAACGACGGGCTCAAATTTAAGAAGCCCCAACCAGTGAAGAAGCTAGTGGAACCTCCTAATGGCTGCCACGGGAGCATCATCAGCTTCTCCAGCCCCCACGCAGAGTCAGCCTCCTCGGACAAGTGGCTGCTCTACATTCACCCAGCAGACCCAAAGCAGAGGTCTAACCTGGGGGTGTACCTCAACAAGTGGCCGCTGGATCCCGAGGCCTGGTCCGAGCCTTCTCTGCTGGCTGTGGGCAGCTGTGCCTATTCTGACCTCCAGAGCATGGGAGCTGGGCCCGATGGGTCCCCCCAGTTTGGGTGTCTGTACGAGTCTGATAATTACGGGAAGATCGTCTTCGTGCTATTCACTCTGAAGCAAGCCTTCCCAGCTGAGATCTGACTCCATGAGCCAATTGCAGGCCAGTCAAGGATGGCTTCCTGCTGGCCCAGAGCCCTCATCTTCTTTACGCACTGAAAGGCTAGTTATCTTCCTTTTCTTTGGGGGCCCTCTGGACTTTGGATGCCAGCTTTTGGTTCTCCTCATTAAAAGTATGTGGAGAGAGCTGCCTCTTGGCCGTTTTCCTTCTTCCTTGCTTCAATTTTCCCAGAAGATTCTATTTTCAGCCCAGAAGTGAAAGAATCTAGCTTCCCGTAGCCCCTTGTAAGGGAAAGTGCTGAGAGTTCACAGCGACTGCTCCGCACAGCTCAACCTGCCTGCCCCCGCCCCCATCTTCTGTGTAGGTCTCCATACATGATCTGTTGTGTTCCTGGGGAAAGGCCAGAGACAAAGAGATGTAAATTAGCAGAGGTGTGTGTGTGTGTACATGTGTGTATGTGTGTATGTGTGTGTTCTTGCTACGGCTTCAGAGCTGCTCTGTGTGGGGTGTAGCTTCTCAGGGAGGCAAGACAGGGTCTAGGAAAATGAGATTTGCTAAAGTCATTGCATTTGTTTTCTAGGGCTGCTGTAAACAAATTACAACAATCTTGGTGGCTTAGAACAACAGGACTTTGTCCTCTCAGGGTTCTGGAAGCTGGAAGTCTGAAGTCAAGGTGTCGGCAGGGCCGCGCTCCCCTCAAAGGCTCTATGGGAGAAGCTGTTCTTTGCCTCTTCCAGCTCCTGGTGGCTCTAGGTGCTCCTTGGCTTGTGGCGTCATCACTCCAATCTCTGCCTCCGTCTTCTTGGGGCTGTCCTCCCTCTTTTTTGTCTTCTCCTCTTTTGTCTCTCTTCAAGACACTTGCTCTTGGGTTTAGGGCCCACCTGGATAATGCAGAATGATCTCTTTTGAGATCTTGAACTTAATTACATCTGCAGAGATCCTTTTTTTCCAAATAAAGCCACACTCACAGATTCTGGGGATTAGGACATGGACGTATACTTTGGAGACCACCATTGAGCCCATGACAGTCTTCATGAGTTACTTCTATAGAGGTGAGGTGGCTAAAGGTAGGCATTAATGCAGATGAATCAGATAGCTCAGAGGAACCGAGGGGGCGGGAGGGGGCCGAGCTGTTGGGTGCACATCTGTGGCATGGAGCTTCTCTGGGGCACCTGGTCTTTGTGGTGATGGATAGGGCTACATGCAGGTTAACAGCGTGAGAGAGAATGCTAGGCTCATATAGTTCTTGCAGTCTTAAAAGAGCTGGCAGAAAGCAACTCCTTGGTTGTCTAAAGGGGTCACAACCTGAGAGGGAGCCTGGCTGGCTGGAGGGAACCCTCTGATCTCCTGGGGCCTTCAGGGGTCTTTGTCACACATGTCCTGTGGAACGGCGGACTTGCCACCCCCCTCACCCTCTTATTGGCTCTCCATCTCAAGGTGATAAACATCAACATCTAGAATATATAAAAAGCGTCTACAAATCAATAAGAAAAACACAAACAATCCAATAAAAATGGGCAAAAGACGTGAACAGGTACTTCACAAAAGAGGATATTTTAAATAACACTAAACACATGAAAAGATGCTCAAAATCATTAGTCATCAGGAAAATGCAAGTTAAATTAAAACCACAAGATACTTACCACTAGAATGACTAAAATAAAAAAGACTGACAATGCCAAGTATCAGCAAGGATGCAGAACAACTGGAATTCATGTATTTCTGGAGGAAGTGGAACTGGTACACCACTTTGGAAAGCTGTTTGGCAGTACCTGCTAAAACCAAACTACCCCGTGATCCGGCAATTCCACTCCTAAGTTTATAGTAAAGAGAAAAGAGTGCACATATCCACCAAAGACTATAAACAAGAATGTTTACAGCAGCTTCATTCATAATAGTCCCAAACTGGAAACAGCCCAAATGTCTATCACCAGTAGACTGGGTAACTACATTAGACAATATTTATACAATGGAATATTACACAACAATAAAAGAACGAACTACGGCTACACGTAATAGCATGGATGGTTTTCATAGACATTATGCTGAATGAAAGAAGGCAGACACAAGAGAAGACGTACCGTATGATTCCATTTATCTGAAGTTCAAGACCAGGCCAGATGAATGCACTGTATTTAAATCTGGAGAGTGGTTACTTCTGGTGGAGGAGAGCCGTTGACTTGGAGGGGGCAAGAGGGAGACTTCTGGAAGCTGGAACTTCCCACTGTTTGATCTTGTGCTGGTTACATGGGTGATGCCATAGGTAAAAATTCAATGAGTTGTACATATAAGATGTGTGCACCTTACTGTATTATGTTACACCTCAATAAAAAATAAAAGTTGAACTGAATAGTGGATTTACTGTTTTAACTTCCAAAGCAATGCATTATATTGGGTTTTAAAACTTTGGAACAGAATTTTTAAATAAGCTTTTTATTTTGGAATAACTTTCGATTTACAGCAAAGTTGCAAAGATAGTACAGAGAGTTACCGTGTACCCCACACCCAGTGACCCTTCAGGTTAACGTCTTAGGGGATAACTGTGGTACATTTGTCAAAACTAAGAGATCCAACACTGGTACATTACTATTAACTAAACTCCAGGCTTTATTCGGATTTCACCAGTTTTTCCACTAACGTCCTCTTTGCTGTTCTAGGATCCAATCCAGGATACATTTAGTACGTTTAGTGAGACTGAATTTTTACTGTAACAAGTTTATATCCTTAGAAACACACACACGCACACAAATTATGCACCACTCCGGCAGGCATGTCCTCCCCCCACCTCCTCCTAAAAACCACTCCCCAGACAAATACACAAAACAGCAAAGTCAAAGAACGTGTTCATCAGGCCCAAGTGCTGGCGTGAAAATGTCAGAAGAAGTTTTCAGCCTCTGGAGGCTCAGAAAGGTGGCCGCCCAAAGTCAGCTCCACCAAAGCTCTGAGGACAGGCTTTGCGGCAATTGCCCGTGGGAACCTTGGCCAATCAAGCCACTGCCTGGGGCATCAGGGGGCTGTGGGGAGAGTGTGTGTGTGTGTGTGTGTGTGTGTGCGGGGGTGTGTGTGAGTGTGTGTGTGTGAGACTGTGTGTGAGTGTGTGTGTGTGTGAGTGTGGGAGTGAGCGTGTGTGAGCATGTGAATGACTGAGTGTGAGTGTGAATGGGGGTGTGTGTGCATACTGTCACTGCACTGCCACTGCCAAGTCCAAACTGGGACTCAGTGGACCAGCCCTTGTTCAATACTCCCGGTTACCGGCAACCAGGGTGTGGGCACAAGCAGGGGTCAGGGAAGCCTGGGCCTCACCACCACGCACACCTCAGCACAGAGGCCAGACAGACTGGCGCTCTGGGTGGGGAGCACCAGGTGCTGGTTCTCGAGTATTGGACTCAGGGCTGCTGCCACCCACCTCACCTCTGAGCAGCTACCCAGGCTAGTCCCTCTGAGCAGTTACCCCAGCTAGTCCCTCTGAGCAGTTACCCCCAGCTAGTCCCTCTGAGCAGTTACCCCAGCTGGTCTCTCTCAGCAGTTACCCCCAGCTGGCTCCTCTGATCATTTACCCCCAGCTAGTCCCTCTCAGCAGTCACCCCCAGCTTGTCCCTCTCAGCAGTCACCCCAAGCTAGTCCCTCTCAGCAGTCACCCCCAGCTAGTCCCTCTCAGCAGTCACCCCCAGCTAGTCCCTCTCAGCATGTACCCCAGCTGGTCTCTCTCAGCAGTTACCCCCAGCTGGCTCCTCTGATCATTTACCCCCAGCTAGTCCCTCTCAGCAGCCACCCCCAGCTTGTCCCTCTCAGCTGTCCCCCCTTTCCCCATGCGCTGTCGTGTTGCCGTCTGCATTGTGGCAGTCCCAGGGCGGGTCCCTGTTCATTTCTTGACGTGGCAGGAACAGTGGGTGGTGACTTGAGACTCCTGGGCCCTGGGAACCAGCTCTGAGCACCACTGAGGAAGGATGTCCGAGGCTGGGGAGGGGACATGACAGCTGACATATTTGCTACGAGGAGAGGGAGACAGGGCCTGAGAAGGCCTGTGTGGTGGCTGAATGTCCACGTCCGAATCCCTGGAAGCCATGAATATGCCGCCTTTCATGCCGACAGGGTCTTTGCAGATATGGTGAAGTTAATGGTCTTAAGATGTGAGATCATCCTGGATTATCTGTTATTGTTGTGTGCCGTCGAGTTGATTCCGACTCATAGCAACCCTATAGGACAGAGGAGAACTGCCCCATAGGGTTTTCAAAGCTGCAATCTTTATGAGAGCAGATTGCCAGGTCTTTATCCCTTGGTACCGCTGGTGGGTTTGAACCACTGATCTTTTGGTTGGCAGCAGAGCGCTGAACCATTGCACCACCAAGACTCTTTTGAATCACCTGGGTGGGCCCTAAATGTAACAGCAAGGGTCCTTATAAGAGGGAGGCAGAGGGAGATTTGAGTAGACGTGACGACAGAAGCAGCGGTTGGAGTGATGGGAGGAGGGGTCAGGAGCCAAGGATGGAGCTCCAGAAGCTGCAAGGGGCAAGGGGCAAGGGGCAAGGAGGGATTCTGTACTAGAGTCTCCGGAGGGAGGATAGCCCTGACAACACCTTGACTTTAACCCAGTGAAACTGATCTTGGACTTCTGGCCTCCCAAACTGTGAGAGAATAAATGTGCGCTGGTTTAAGCCACCAGGTTCATGGTGATTTGTTACAGCAGCAACAGAAAACTAATACTGATCACCTCACTGGGGGCTTGAAATTCCACCTTTCTCACGGACTTAATGTTTCCTACACCCATCCTGCTTGGCCCCTTAGTGACCCATCGGGAGGCAGCGGGTCCCTGGTGACCCCGCGGGGAAGCAGTGGGCCTCTAGTGACCCATGGGGAGGCAGCGGGCCCCTGGTGACCCTATGGGGAGGCAGTGGGCCCCTGGTGACCCCACGGGGAGGCAGCGGGCCCCTGGTGACCCCGCGGGGAAGCAGTGCGCCTCTAGTGACCCCATGGGGAGGCAGCCGGCCCCTGGTGACCCCACGGGCAGGCAGCGGGCCACTAG